ACATTATTGACCCAACTTGGGACTATAAAAAAGAGTGCATTTAGAGAAGGTGTGCATTTAGAGAGGGTGTATTTAGGAGGGGTTCTCTGTATTTAGAAAGATTTATATATTAAAAAGAAAAAAAAATAAAAAGAACTTCAAAAAAGATTTATAAATAAGTAATTGTTATAGGTCTTTTCTTATACAATTCAAAGAAAAAGCAAGACTTCCAAACTTGCTTTCCTCTAATCAGAGGTCTCATCCCAATATACCAGTGTACTTCTTTAATTTTTTTAGAATTTTTATAATAAAGAAAAAGAAAATGTAAAAGTCTTTTGGATATTGAAAGGTGAAAAAAATATTTGTTTCTCTAATTTTGAAAAAAATTATTATAAAAAGAAATTTTAAAAAAAAAAGTTGTATACAGGACAAAGTTTTTTTTTATTTTTCTCCTATACTTGAAATTTTCTTTTTTAGGGAATTTTTAAGTTGTTTACTTTTTTGTTTTCTCTTCTTTCTTTTTTTTTTATCATTTCTCTCTTATATTTTTTATTCTTCCTTTTTATCTTCTTCTTTTTCTTCTATATATATATTTTCTTCTATATATCTTTCCTTCTCTTTTTTTCCTTTTTTTTTTATTAAAGTTAGATTTTACCTTTTTAAAAATTTTTCTTCCTAGATTTCTTTTTCTTTTATAAACTCTACTTTTTATAACATTACTCCTCTAGCTAGTTAACTTTCTTTTCTCAAGAATTATATCAAGAAATGATAATTTCTTTCAAAATGTAAACTTCTGAATTTTTTTTCTCTTTCATAATTTTACAAAAAAAAGATAAATAATTTATCCTCTTCAAAAGATTGACATGATTATTATTATCAAATCTGATATTATTTATTTGTTAATAATGAAACTAAATATATCTAAAAAGTCAATATATACCTATTATTATCTAAAAGTATTCAATAAGTTGGATTTTATAGTATTTAAAGTAATATAATAATCAATATCAATGTAGCTAATAATAAATAGGATTAGTTACAAATATTATAATGATAATTAGAGAATTTAATAGAATAATATATAAAAATCAAATATTCTAGTTATCTTTACAATATAAATTAGTAATAACAATAAGAGTTCTTTACTTATTTCTTTAACAATATAGGTTCATTATACAATATTAGATATTAGTATCTTTAAAAAACTCTAATTTTATTTTATATCCAACATTTTTCTTAACAAATATTACTTTATATCCAAACTCTCTTTACAATTATCAGTTTTAGCTTATACTAAAATCAAAATATGTCCTTTAAAGCCACTCTAAAGTAAAATTAATTGCCACTCTCCAGTCTATAGTTCTAGTATTAGATTTTAAGATAAAGATCTATATTAAATACAAATACTATAATAAAAAATTAATATTGCTAAAGAGTTATTTTGGTAATAAAGATAGTTAACTTTTCTAGCTTTTGATTTTAATAATAGATTCAAATAAAAGATCAATATTAAATATAAATGGTAAAAGACTGGCATTATTTTAATATAGTTTAAATTTAATATAATTTGAAATCAATACTTGCCTTGTTTATTAAATATCAAACCATATTTAAAAAATAAGAGTACAAATCCTAGTTATAACTTAAATGTTAACTTGTATATAATAATTGTAATATCTTTATATAATTAAATAATCCAATTCTTTAGGTAGCTAAATATTATTCAATGCATAATATATATTTTAAATTTCTTTTTTTTATATTCTTGAATAGTTCTAAGAAGCTTAAATAAATAGGTTGCAATTGTGAGCCTTGTATTAAACTTTTTTTAATAAAAAAATATATATATTATATTATAAGTTATAAATCTTGTAATTGCAAGTTTAAAATTATAATAAAAATAATATATGAGAATCATCTATTTCTTTAAAAAATAAATAAATAAAAAGTAACAATATTTTTCATATAACTTAAATTAATAAGATTTGTAAGTCAATAATGATCTTTTTGCTAATTCTTTTACCAATCCAAAAACAGATATTTCAGAAAAATTTTATATTTCTTTATAACAAAGTCTATATATTTTCTCTAATAATATTACTACTTAAAGACTTTAGTTTTTCTCTACTTGTTTCTTTCCTCATTGATATAAACTTTTTATATTTCTGCAAGTAAATACAAGGAAAACCTACTTATAAAGTCAAAGGCAAAAACATTTTATTAAAAAAAAAAACCTGTAAAAAAAACATACTTTTTCTTTTCTTCAAAGATTCAAGACTTTAGAGAAGATTATTAATGACTTTTGAAACTTTACTTTTATCTTTCTTAAGTTTCTCTCTTAACTTCTCAAGTATATATACTTTTTTTTAATTTTTCTAGAAAATTTTGCCTACTTCAGTTTGATCCTAAATTTTTTGTTATACTGAAATCCTTGAATAATAATTGATTCAAAATTTGGATTGATTGATTTGCATATAGCAAGAAATATAAACAAGTTATGTAAATCCCACATGTTTTATCTTATACAACCTATATCTAATAATGTAATTGGTGACAATAGAAAGAACAAGGTGATGAAATATACTTTTTGGCAAAAGAAGTAATTTAATACTTTTCCTCTTCCTACTTGAACTGGTTTGATTTCTTTTCAATATTAAAAAAAGATCTTATTCCAATTCAGTAATAAGTTAATTCTACTGTTAATTATTTCAAAAATGATTGAAGAAAAAGGTTTTGAAACTATCCACTAGTTAAATAAAACTATAAATCCTTAGATATTTGATTAAAAAAGAAATTGCCAATTGAAATACTAACTCTTTCTAAAAATTAGAAGTTTTCGAATATAAAGTTTCAAGAAATACTATTCTGAAAGTATCCTTAAATGTTCTTGGTCAACAATGGAATAGTAGAAATTAAATAATTCCCAGTTGCAGGTGATTAGACTAGATGATAGTTAAGAAGAGTTTTTATTTTACAAGTATAAACCTTTTCTTTTTTCTTTTTCTTTTCACTTTTAATTTCTTAAAAAATAAAATTTTTTTTATCTCTTAAGACCACAAGTTTGTATTGGAGTGACAGTCTGAATATAGGCTGGTATTAATCTTTAAGACATAGACTTCTAATTCTTTGTCTTGAAAAGGAATAATATTATCATTATTTTATTAATTAAGTATTAATAAAACTTGAATATTTTTATTATTACATTATAAAAAATATATATTTAAAGTTTTATATTAATTAAATAATTATTTATTAAGTTATATTAAAAAATATTAGTCTAAAGACTTTTGTAACACATTGTATATACAGTATATATACAGTATATAATAAAACTTTTTGGAATTTTATTTATATAACATAAATATAAATAATTTTTTTAAAACAAAAGCAATTCACGTGAAATTTTAAACATGTAAACAACATATCTTGACAAATATATACAGTATATACTATTAAATTTCTCAACTTGTTTTATTTTTTTTATAAACTGACCTGTGGGTCAATAGTGTAGTGGTTAACACTTCACAGGTTAAATTGCAAGATATCAGTTCAACCTCATGTGAGGGTGATTGAATAAAATTAATATGGTATCTGGCACCATAACCTATAAAAGTGCTGTTTTCCATAAGAAGCCATTTCACATGCTGATCCAGTAGATGCTGGGATTGTGATTTTCAGAAAAAATGTTATGGCACGACAATCGTCCGGTTGGTATTACAATGATTGCCAAAAGTTGCAAGGTGTATAAGGTATCTGCTTTTAGTAAGTTGGTTTGATAATCATTTTCCCATGGTATCTGATATCTCTTTCTGTAAGTTTCCAAAAAAGCCTTATTCCAATCCAGTAATAGATCTCTCTGACAGTTACTTATCCCAGGAAGGCAGCCAAAACAGCAGTAAGTACGATAGCTGAAATAATCTATAGGCAGTAAGTCTGTAAAATAAGTTTCTTGAATATTCTTGAATAGCTCTAGAAAGGTGGAAATTAAATAGTACACTTAACTGCAGGTGGTCAGGTTTAGAAGAATTTTGTCTGCAAGGGTTCTATTCGCCTAATAGGTATTACTCCAGTTCCCCTCTTTACACTTCCGCTTAACATATTTCCAGTTAGAAATAGAACCTTTCATATATAATAATGGCACTGATGGAGCTTTAGCATATTAGCCTTGACATTGTGAAGGGCGGAACGGCGAGTCAGTCGCTAACTGATGATGGAATTCATGTAACTGCTGGTCTACTCTTAATTAAGATGATCAAAGAGGCAAGATGTTAGATTTGGCCCAGGTGAGTATTTTAATTATTGTTTTATATGGTGATTTTCTCTTTTTCCTTTTTTAAATGCTATCATTTTTATACACTTTTCGATAGAAATTATTAGAAAGTTGTAGAAACATAACGAAAGATAAGGAAATTCTATTTGTTTCTACACTAATTACATAATAAAATGCTCATTATATCATTTTTATCTCACTTTTAGTGCCAGTTTCAGTTCTACATTTCTTCTCGCAATTCCCGGGTCAATAGTTGGTCACGTGACCTGAATCGCATTACCTATTATTTTATTTTCCCTCTTACAACTCCCCCACGCTTATCTTATGCATCCCTCGCATAAAGATTATAATTAAGCGTGTTTCTCGTCGTATCTCGTCTAGTGATGGCCGGCTCGTTGATTGATCGCTTGATTTTTCTCTCCATTTGTGTTTGATCTTGCAATCCGTTGCGCCGATGATGTCAATCTAATTCAGGGTACATTGTTGGTGCGGCATGGCTTTCTTCCCAGCATATGTTGTCATTATGATGTTGTTTCTGGTTGCCGATTCTTTTGTCGCTGCTTCCAAGTTTTATCCATAGTGCCCGTTTTTTTCTTTTTTTGCGTCTAACGATTTTCCGACATGGAGTAGGGTACATGATAATCGTTCTACACGCATAATTATGGATGCTTTCCATTCTTATAATCCTGGATATTGGTTGGTCGTTACGTAGCACATCCTTTCTTACTTCAGGCGTTCCGATTTTCGTGTTCCTTAGTTCAATTTCACGTCCTCCTCCTTGATCTCGATGGTCCGTGATTGTCAGTGGTTTTCTGGTGCCGAGGGTTTCGTTGAGTGGATCATCGTTTATGACTATGGTTTCTTCTTCCTGTTGTCCATTGCTGCTATCATGGGTTCTTCTATCGATATGTTGTCGTGGCTTGTCTTCCGGTAGCTTATCTCTTTCTTCAGGGCATTCCTCACGTTGTTCTTGACTTATTATCAGCTTCCTTTCTCTTTTTTCTGGTTTGTCCCCTGCTTCAATTCTGTGACCGATCTTTTCATTGATTCCGGGTATCATAGTTCTAAACGTTTCTTCCCATAGCTTTGTGCAGTCATGAGTAACCAATACTTCGTTGCAGATTAGCTCTTGATTTCTAATCATTGCATGGATCCTTTGAACAGCTTCACCAACTCTTTCCACATGGTCGATTTCTCTTTGCGGCTCGGGGTACATCTTCTCATCAAGATTTCCTTCTGTCTGGTCATTCGTCGGCACGTCTTCCGGTCGATTTCTCGCTTTCTCTTGATGATGCATCTTCTCTGTGTCTTGTGCTAATCCGTTGTCTTCATCCGGTTTACTCACCATTTTCCTCACGTCATTGTTCCTATTGTTTGGTGCCCTGGTATTCTTGTCTTTTGGGGCTTGATCCCAGGTAGGTCTCCGATTTTCTTCCGTGCGCCAGATACTGATATTCTTTTTCTCTTTTTCTGCCATCTTTCCTAAGTCTTCGCTAAGCAGCGTCATCGGTTCCTGATGCGCATCATGATCTCTACCATTTCGTTGCTTATTCTGAATCTCATCAGTAATGGTCATTTCGTTGTGGCATTCTTCAATTTTCTTGGTTTTGTTTATTGGAATTCTTTTAATTGGGAGGGATGTACTGTCACTGGTGTTTTTTTGGGAGATAGCTCTAACTACTTCGGCAAGTGTAGATGCTATCTTTTCCCTTTCTGTTTTTATCACTGCTTTGAGTGCTTCTATTGGCCCGACGGAATTTCTAACCGTAGGTTGCGATAATATATCTTCCCATAACCTGAGTACCAGTAACTATACATGTGGCGTAAATTATTTTACTGTTGACTCAATTCCCAAAATCCTCAAAAATAATTGCGTCATGACTCAATTATTTATATGTTTTAATAGTGACTCAATTAATTGTGTCAAATAATTGCGTCAATTGCGTCAAGGTTCTACGAATTTCAGCAACATGTATACCAGTAACTAATACATTGTTTTTTTGGCATATTCACCCTCTGGGTAGAGCTTCTTTAGTAGCTCCATGAACCTATGGACATATTTGGTCACCTTTTCGCTTTTGCCTTGTTTCATGGTTTCCAACTCTTCTTGCCACCGGCGACGTTGCTCTAGCATTTCGAAATGCTGTACAAACGTTGGTACGAAGCTCCATTTTTGGTTGCCTTCGTTGTTTCAGCAGGCAAGTCGATCTCGGCAATTTTCATATCAGTTAAGCGCAACACTTTCTAAATACTTATCTATTTCCTCAAGCTTCTTGGCATCCGTCCAATTTCGACAACTAGCGGCTTTGTCGTAATGTTTTATCCAACTTTGCGGGTTGTTCTTTGGTCTCCCTCTGAACTTGTATCTTCTTGTTCATTGGGTTTTAGTTTCTTCTTTAGATCTAGGTACGTCTGTTGATTTTTTCAGACTATCTCGTCATGGAAGGGTATGCGTAATTGCGTCATACTCGATCTCTAACATTTTTATCGTAGTGCGGATGATTGACATAGGGGACAGTTACAAGTCACCACCAGTTATGCATAGGTGCCCCCAAAATAAATACAGGGTAAAATAAAAGGAATGTAAAAGGCCAGGGTAAATATAAAATTATGATATCTTTACTAATAGCGAATGGTTTGTCTTCGCGGAGTAAGAGTAGGAACAGTATCGATGTGGTATCCGTGAGAAAATATCAGGGGGGTAAATGAACAACGTTCTATCTCACAGTCACCACCAAAATTGTGAAGGGCGGAACGGTGAGTCTGTTGCTAACTGATGATGGAATTCGTGTAACTGCCGGTTCACTCTTAATTAAGATGATCGAAGAGGTGAGGCATTAGATTTGATCCAGGTGAGTATTTTAATTATTGTTTTATATGATGGTTCTCTCTTTTTCCTTTATTAAATGCTATCGTTTTTATATACTTTTCACTAGAAATTATTAGAAAGTTGTAGAAACATGATGAAAGGTAAGGAAATTCTATTTGTTTCTAACACTAATTACATAAT